ATGCATGTAATTCTTTTGAACTTTTACACAAAAATAAATAAATAAATAAACAAAAGAAAATAAATGCTAGTTAGGTTGAAAACCCAACAAAATGGGCAATCTAAGCAAAAAGGGCTTATTGAGAAAAAATGAGTGAGTTGGGGAGAATGGAAAAATGAAAAGAGATGCTAGGATGAAAACCTGAAAAGACTCCTAGGCAAAATGAGAGATATGAGAGAAATGTTTGTTCTTGCAGGCACTCATTGTATCCCTATGAAGAATAAGAAGATTCAAGATAAAGAAGAAGAGAGGAGGAGAAGAGAAGATAACACTAGGAGGCCATTAAACCCAAGATGCTCTTTTGTAATTTGAGTTTAAAACTCATTTTTTCTTTGTCATCCTTGGTGGTCTTTGTGTTTGTATATTGTTTTTGTTGAACTGTGGAACTTTTGGACAAACATTGACACTTGTGAACATTTGATCTTACTCGAGACGAGTAAAGGTTTAAGTGTGGGGGAGTTGATACGTTCGTAATTTCCATATTTATGTTTGTGTTTTTAATTAGTTTTGCTTGACCTTTACTTTGGAAATTACACACTTTTGGTGTAATAGATTAGTTTGTTAAATTCTTGTAAATATGTTAGATTAGATATATTCTGAGCTCAAACAAGTATTAATCACTCGAAGTACAGTTGGTGAACCCAAAAAGTGGAAAGAAGGTGCAAAAGTTCAAAGACAAAAGAAGATCCTGGATTTTTGTCTATACTTGGTCGAGTATTAGCTATACTCGATCGGGTATTAGGTTGGAACTTCAAATCGGATCAGATCCGAAGACAAGGGAACATGCCGGGAAGATTTCGGCCACGATTTTATGTCTATACCCGATCGGGTAGTCCGACATACCCGATCGGGTATGCCTTTGAATTTCAAACGAAGATCGGTCGAGTATGGTCCGAATACCATTTTCTAAGCATACTCGACCGGGTATTAATATATACTCGATCGGGTATACTTATGGAAAATAGCCTGAAACCGGTCGAGTATACCTCGGATCGAGTGTTACACACGTACTCGATCGGGTACCATGTATATACCCGATCGAGTACCCGAATCCCATCCCAAAAGCCTATAAATACACCTCCTTTCCTTCACAAAAAGACATCCAATTCCTTTGTACATCTAAGCTCAGTGTAGAATAGCTCTTTCTTTATATTTTTCATCATGTTTAGTCTCCAAATGAGGAGCTAAACTCTTCCATCTTGGTTTTGCTACTTTGAAGCTTAATGAATTTGTAAGTTGTGAGTTATTTTCTTTAATCTTCTTCCTTGAATATTAATTCTTTCTTTCAAAATACTATCTCTATATCAAAGTTGGGGAGTGTTACTAAGATGACAATTAGTTAACATCTTGACATTGGTTATAGTAATAGCTATTTCTTCCTCTATGTTAATATTGGGGAGTGTTACTAAGATGACAATTAGTTAACATCTTGATATTAATCATAGTAGGATTCATTTTCTTTAATATTCTTCCTTGAGTATTAATTAATTCCCATTCATATTTCATGTTAATATCTTAAACATTACTTAAAGTATCAACTAGTATTGTTTCTCATATTAATTATTACTAGAATCGATCGGTTAATACGCTTGTTATTAATCCGGTTCTTTCAACGGTAGTAAACTTGGAATATTAATGCATGCATCTCATGGTTAATATGCCAAGGGGAATTAATTATGTTGATTAAACCAATAAACCGCTTGTGTTGAGGTTATCAATCTCAATCGTTTTCATCTTAAGTTTATTGCTACTATCAAGTTAATATACGGCGCTTGTTCTATATTGACTCGATAGTAAGTTTTATTAATGAACGCATCTCGTTATTAATAACTACCCTCGATGAACTGGATATACTCCTCGATTGAGTATTCGAGAGGAGGATAGTTAAAGATATAACCGGGATCGACGAACATTTCATTAAGTGGATAAAAGCAGAACCAAGTCCTCATCTCATTGAATTAAACTCATATAGGTTGTTTATCTTAGTGTTTTTAAACCAAACAAATCTAAACCCCCCTTGTTACTACTTATATAAAAGAAAAGTATTCATTTCCCTGTGGATACGAACCTTACTTCGTTATACTACGTATATTCGTCGTATTGATTAATTATTTTGAGTGCACCTAACGACAAGTGCACGTCACCGATTCACTTACTTCTCTAGCCCAGATAGCTTGCCTATTTTCTCTAAACGGGCATATTTAATGGATTTGTTTGGTATTCCCTCTTTTAGATTTTAATCTTGTTTAAATTTTTTGTTTTAGTTGTATTGTGGTTTGTTTTCTGAGAGGTTTTGGTTTGGTCCACCTCTCTATGTACTTCAATTCTATCTAATAAAATCCGGCAAATGATCTCTGGCATTTACCCCACTAATTTTGTTGATTTGCCTTCCGGGGTAAAAAAAAGGTGGCTCAAGAGGAACTTGCTGCACCGGGACTGGTGCTGACCAAGGAAACGTCAGCGGAAGGTGTTGAAACAGAGAATAGGGCCTGGAGGGTTGGCTTGGTGAGGCGAAGTCAGAGGAGATTGTCGGTGGTGTGATGCCGGCGGACGACGCTGCAACTGCCGCGACGGAGGAGCTGGATGTGGCGGAAGCTGTCGCCATGGGAGGTGCCGCGGAAGAGAGGCACAGAAGACATCAGCTCTGTGGCGGCGGCGTAGATTGAGTCGGCAGCGGCTATAGTGTAAGCCTAGCGGCGCCGAACGTAAGGAAAACGTAGAAAAAAAGGATTTTAGTGTGCTCTTGATACCATGTGAGAATAATGGAACATGATGCTCTCTATGGAGACCTGACAGATATATTTATAATAAGAGAATTTAATGTCAAGTACAATATTAATGGTATAATAATTCTATTACATTTCACACATCTTCAAATTTTGGGATATTTTATTTATTTTTCCCTAAACTAAATGTGTTACCCAACATGACTACCCGTTTTGGTAAAAATGACTGATAATTGAGGAATTTTCCCCAAACTTTTGATTATAGGAAAGGCAATTCTTTTAACCAAAAGAATTTCTAAAGGCTAAAATTTACTATTTCGATATATAAAACTTGTCATTGGTGCCAGACTGCCGGATACAAGTTATCGTCATCGTTGAGAAAGTAGTAGAAGAAGAAATTGTAACTTGAGGTTTGGGAAGAAGTGGGGAGCGCATATTATACAATCGGTTTTACGGTGCCAGTCGTACAACCTGTGATGCTTTCGTAATTTTGGTGAAAAACATGACTTCTCCTGAATGAGCATTAACGCAATTTTGTTGAGCATCAAGCCTATTCTTTTGAGTATTAGGACCCTAAAAAAGACCATCAGTGTTCTCTGCTTCATATCTTCTAATTCGCGTTCTTTTTATTATTTTTCGTTTATAAAAACTCTTAAAATTTGTCTATATTCGATTCCAATTAATTTCAATTTGTAAATCTAATGTAGTATGATATATTTGAAATGTGCAACATTTTAAAATGAGCATAAAGAGGTACCAAATAAACAAACATAACTTACAAAATGAGTATCAAAAAAATCAAACACTCATTTGTGATCATTCATTTTGGATTTTATACTCATTTGGGTTTAACATAATGTAGTATGATACGTTTGAAATGTGCAACATTTTAAAATGAGCATAAAGAGATATCAAATGACCATACATAAATTACAAAATGAGTATCAAAAAATCCAATATTGATTTTTTGTATGTTCATTCCTTTTAAGCTTATACTCATTTGAGTTTAATATAAACTCATTCCAGATTCGTCAACAAAGAAGTATGAACTCAGTCTCCTAAATCGTCGCTCAATCTGTCATCTCCGTATTCTTCTACTCGCAGCACCGGCCAACAAAAAAATCCCCAGGAGCCACCGTCTGTTGCGCAACAGGAGGGCGTTTGTGCTTGAGGAGAAGAGAACAACAACGAGGACCAGTCTGCCTAGTGCGAGATCAGATCGAAGAAGCCAAGCGAGATTGAAGAAGCAGGTGTGAAGTCCTGTGCGAAGCAAGATCGAAGAAGTGAAGAACCTAAAGCGTAAAAAAGGTTGGTTGTACCGTGCGCATGGTACAACCGACTGTAGGATGTAATTTACCGAAGAAGTGAAGAACCTAAAGCGCCCGGTATAGTATCAAATAACAGAGTTTGCCAATAATATCCCTGCCACTTACAAATTACAATTATACTTACTTATATTGAATACTTATACACATACAAAATGAAAATTGTTTTAAATAGGACTAAGACTTAGACATGCCAGATGCACAAATAGGAATATATGTATTTTATTCCGAAAATATGACTTATTTAAGATGTTTTTAGTTGGACTATTTTCAATTGCAGACCAAATTAAACCAAACTTGGATTGTTATAAAATACACAGAGACCAAACATTTACTAGACCGGACTAAAGAAGTCCAGTCCAAGTAAAAACATCCTTAATCATGTCCAAAGTATTAAACTTTCCTACTAGGAGTGAATAAGTCATACTTTAGGAAAGAAACCAATTATAGTCTTATATGTACACTTTATTTATGTTTTAAATTAGTCCCGTATAAGAAATTTTCTGATATTTTTTTTCTATGCATGAATCACATAATCAGTTTAAGTCTTGAGCAAATACGTACAAAAAGTAACTATTTTTTCAATTTTTTTTACTAATTTTCTTTAATTAATTCATTGTAATTTCTATCAAATATCTGCCCCACCCCCTCAACGGCCCAATCACTCACAAACGTATTCGCCACCAGAATAAAAGTCATTTAATTTTTTTCTTCTTATTTTCATTTTGCCTCTTCAAAATTTTTTTCCAACAGTAACATGTTTTACTGAGACGGTGACATCGTAAGTGACATGAAAATATGATAATGTTATCTAATACTGACATGAAATGTAGCAGTGACAATAAATTACGGTAACGTTATATTTTTTTTTCAAAATATGACCTTGTTTGTCACAACAATTAACCTTTTGTGCATATTTAAAAGTGGCCACTTTTTTTCATTGAAAATACTCTGTATGTGGTGCTGTATATATAAGGATTTGGATACACACTTACACAATCGAATTAGCCTTCAAGTATGCATGCCGAGACAGGTTCTTAATCTATTACAAGAGATTGTTACACATTAATTTCCTTCGAGTAATAGACAAAGACAATAGGGGCCGGACCGGTGCTGGCCAATATTTCCAAAACCAGATTTCAGTCAACTCGACCATACATGTGATGCAAATCCGGGGCTGATTCAGAAACGCGCCAAACCTTGACAGACTTATCCAAGCTTCCACTGTACACCACCCATTTCCCACTTGACTCCTTGTCCTCTTCGACCGCCAGACATTTGACCGGTCCACTGTGACCGGCCAAGATCGAGAGGCACATGTGAACCGGGCCGTCCCACCTCCAGACGCAAATCGTCTTATCCGCTGAACCGCTGAATACCATATTTCGGCCCGCCGCCACGAGGCAGAGCACCGCCAGCTTGTGGCCTTTGAGGACCCCGCCGTGGCACAACCGCTTCTCGCGTTCCCAGAAGTTAACGAGCCCGTCGGATGAGCCGCCGTATAGAACTGTTCCGTCCTTGTTCACCGCCAACGCCGTTACAGCAAACTCCTATAGATTGTTAATCATATGCACGTTAATTCGTAGTTAACCGAATAAAATGAATACTCAAAAAAGTCAATTTTACAACTCAATTTGGAACAAAGTGAGTATATTTTACTTCAAAACTAAAACTTATTTAGTTCTATTGGATCAGAGAAATACAAAATTTCACAAAATAAAAGTGAATGAATCCTATTTTAAAAAGAAAACAATGACCATATGATGATCTTATTTATGAATTTTATTCGCATTTTAAGAGAACTTTCTCTAGATTTTAGGGTTTGCCTATGCCTTAGTCCTTAAAGTTGAACTTCTATGTTTTACCAAACTCACTTTGGGGTTTAATAGCGTTAGTCCGGCGAAATCGATGACGGAGACGGTGACGGTCAGTCGACGACTGTCTCTCAACAACTCTTTTTGCTCATAACTTCTTAATCCTATTTAAGATTTTAAATATCTAATTCTACTTTGCGAACCGGATAACGGGCTCGATTCTTCTTTACTTAATTTTCGAAGAAGAAAATTAGAACTTTATCACCAAACACGATGAATTGATTCTGTCTCGATTTGAAAAACTAGAATTTGTTGGGACTACCTCTGGCCATTTATATATTTTGTTTTGATTTGACATAATTACTAATAAAAGTGACTGAAAAATAAAATTGTTTTTAAGATGTGAATTTAATACGGTATGATGATATAGATCATATTTTTTTATAGGAAAATGGGGTTCAAAAACTAAACTAAGATAGGTAAAATGAAAGTTTAGCTAGAGACAGATGAGGGGTTCAATATAATTCAGTTTCTCACTACACGTTGTCTTTACTAAAAAGGCAACATATACCTTTTGTTCATAATTTTTTTAGCACGTTCATATCTAACATTCATTTATTTGGATGTTAAAATTTTGTCTCACATTTTAATGTCCAATAAACATATCACACATATGAACATTCACATAGGAACAAATGTATACTTATACTTATCTTAAGATATATATTTCATTGTTTCTAGTTTTGTTCATGCATGCATGCTTTAAAACACATAGCATTTTAAAAACAACGTCTTATTACTATCACGTTCAAGATTAAATGTTTGTGGTATGGTTTTTGGACAAACAAACATTTAAGATGTAAAACGAATAAATGCAAATTTGAAAACTGCTACAAAGTATGCAATGAATCTTCAGAATGACAATCATGCAAGTACAAAAACATAATCCCTCCAGTTCTGAAAGATCTTTACACTTTCCATTTTTAGCAGTACCAGAAAGATCTTTACACTTTCTTATTTGCTTTATTTGGCAAATAAATCTACACATAACAGTGCCAAACAGTGTCAAACAATGTTTATTTCCTTAAAAAATGTGAAGTAAAAGTGTCAACATCTTTTGGAACCGGAGTGAGTAGATAATTAATACTCCCTCCGTTCCTATTATATCTTCCATTTCACTTTGGCACACAATTTAAGAAAAGTGGTATTGTGTGGTGGAGAGTTGTGCACAAGAAAGAGAAATGCGTAAGAAATGTTGTGAATCACAAATTTTTTACCAAAAAGAGAAAATGGAAATTTAATTGGAACGGATGAAAAAGAAAAGTTGGAAGATATAATAGGAACGAAGGGAATACGAAGTATGAAAATTAATTTGGGACACGTAAGGTACTATTTCTGTCCCTAAAGTACTACGGAGTATCTAATTAATATTGTTGGAGAAGAGAATAAAATATTCAGAACTATGAATTTTGGGATTTTAGAGGAGATCAGATCGAGATAGAATTCCGAATTTGATATTTTGTCTACTTGAAAAGAAATAAACATTAACTATTTAACTTTTTAGGTGAGGATATACCTAGTTTATAGAAATGTGCTAAAATAATCAGGAATTCCGAACGCTCAGATTTTTGTTTTTCCTAGCTAGTAATTGCAATTAATGGGATTGGCACGCTAAATTTTTATTACTACGTATGTCCGACTGTAAGTAGCACTTATTATAAAATTATAGTCATGGAGTACTTCCTTCGTTTTCTTTTAATTTCAATGGTCCACTTTTCATGTTTATCAATGCTAAATTTGACCATTTTAATTCCTTTTTGATAAAAAAGTTAAAAAATTCAGATTTTGGAAATTTAAAATGAGAGAAATTTATTTTTTTATAAATTCAATTTATTATACATTAATAAATAAACATAGTGAAGTATGCTTGTTTACATGGCAGATGGTACACATCATTGTATAATGTCATCCTTTTATCTATACGGAGACAATATTTTACGTAGTATTGTTTTATAAAGAGGTTTTGTGTGTGTCAGTGACTAAAAGTTTTATCAAGGTGACACATAAATCTCTCACGTAGAGACAAAAAACGGCATATACAACCTAATATGTACAAAAAAGAATTTTCTAATTTTTTTCGTGTCTCTCTATCACTTGGTCTTATAATTAATAAATATCAAAACATACACTTTTTCAGCATAAAAAATAATTTAGCATTTTTTTATGAAACCTTTTTTAATGTATTCGATCATCTATTTCATAAAACTTGATCAATTTCATTTGTGATTTTTAGCAATATTTTGATCGTCCCATAATATTTTGCAATTTTCATTTAAAGTAATTCTCTTTTCTCTACATAAATTTTAATCACACAATTTTTAAAATATGTGAATAAAAATATTTTTCTCTTCTCTGCACAAATTTTAATCATACTTCCTCCGTCCCTAAATTTACTTCCAACTTTCCCTTTTCGTCTGTCCCAAAAAAGAACTTCACTTTCCCTTTTTGGCAAAAAAATTGTGGTTCACCACATTTCTCTCTCCTCTGCTCAACTCTCTACACCACAATTCGCACTTTCTTCATCACCGTGCCACTTTAATTTGGAAGAACATTTAGGGACGGAGGGAGTACCATTTTTTGTTTATTATAAACGGTACGAAAAAGTTGTTAAAATTACAAAAGTCGTTCCGTTGTTTTCATGTTTTTAACACGATGGAATTGACAGTTTGAAATTAATATACTACGGCGGGGTATGAAATTAAAGCTATCACATTATGTTTGCAGATGCATTTAATACCTGGGCTAACAAGGTTTGGAGATAAACGTGCTTGACGGCCTTGCCGGCGGATTCCCTCTTCCACACTTTAACGCGGCCATCGGCGGAGCCGGTGTAGACCACGCCGTCCGCGGCGGCGACGACAGAGTTAACGGAATCATCGTGAGCGTCGACGGATTCCAGACATTTCAAGCTCTCGATCCGCCACACCTTAAACGTCCCGTCCCACGAAGCAGAGTATAACAGCCCCTCTTCTCCGTCCATGCTCAAGCTCGAAATCGCGTCCGTATGCTTTATTAAAACAGGGCTCCTCTGGAACGAAGCTTTGAAAATGTCGAAAAATGCGGGCATTGTCCCGACCCGTTTATACGCGTCCCGGGTCTTCTCGCTCACCTTCCAGACCCGGACCTTCCCGTCCTGGTGGCCCGTGAAGATCCGCTCCCCGGATATGATGATCGCCTTCACGAGGCCGCTGTTGGATTTGAACGCCGCGAATTCCTTCATGTCCTTCCACACCCGAATGTTCTTGCTATCCGACCCGGTGTACAGGATCTTGTCCCGGGCCGCCAGAGAATAGATGTGGCCTTCTTCCCGGACCATAGACCCGACGAGGCTGCTCTGCGGGTGACTGTGAGGCGAGTTTCTGGACCAAGGGGAACGGGCGAACGGCGACGGCGGGTTCCACGGCGACATCGTCATCTTCGTCGGAGATCTGCCGGCGGCGTGGAAATCGTCGCCGGTTTCGTCGATTGGCATGATGGACTCGGAATGAGCCATCACGCTTCTAATAATAAAAATATAAATAATTTAAGATTTAAGATGTCTCTCCCTTTTTTGATTGGTGTGTATTGTCATCCCAAATCCAATTTTTCACCACAAAAAAGAAAGAAGGAATGTTAGGAATATATTTAATGAATACGGATTATCAGAGGAAGAAAGTAATTAATGGGTCAAAGTGTTTGGGGAAGAAAATGAAGAGGTGAAAAGAATCTGAACGGACGGGGGGGGGGGGATTTAAAATATTTTTAGGGAGGGAAGATGAATATTAATAAATTATTACGAGCACGGTTACATTATCGAGTTTTTTCCCGAAAAAATGCTAATTAAATAAACAATTTCTAAAATATTGTCGGGTTAAAAATAACTCCCAAAATACTGTTGGGTTAACCGTGTTTAAGGAAAGTCACCACTTCAAATGACGGCTCGTCTCTTACATATAAAAAACGTCACTTCGAGTGGCGGTTCTTCTATATAGCACAAAAGCCACCACTTCGAGTGGCGGCTCATTTATAAATTTACATCCGCTTCGACAAACGCCATCCAAATATCTGCTTCCCTTCTGCGACGAACGACCAATCAGCCCTGCTGCGACGAACGACGAACACCTTTGATTTCGGCCGGAAATCTTCGTTTCGAGGTTAGAATTGAAGGGGAAAACTGACATGGTGCAATCAGGGGCCGCTTAAACTCTATTCTACATACTTTCATCCGTTTGAATCGAGGTACTTCTTTTATTTTGCTAAACCTAGGGTTTTGTTGGTTTAGTTCGAATTTCTCATATTTTTTGGGTTGTATGCTTTGTGTTTGATGTTATAAAATATATAAGTTGGTAATGTTGTTAATATGTTGGACTTTCTATAATTTGTTCATATAAAATTATTCATTGTGTTGGTTGAATCTGAGTTTGATATATGGATTACTTTGACAAGAGTTTTTAAGCACATTATACGTATTTATCTGATTATATATCACCATTAATAATTGCAAAGAAATATATGATTTAATTCAATTCATTTGAATGAAAGAAATTGTAGTTGAATTTTTATTATACGTGATAAGTCATAGTTTTCTTGGAATGGTTTTTTGGTAGAACATGAGCGATCATAACTTCCCCATTGTTTGTCACTGGGGAGGAATATTTTCGATGAATCAAACGGAATTCGTTTTGAAGGGTGAAGGCGGAGGATAATTTTTGTTTCCCGTGGGGTGGATATGACGAACTTGATGCAAAATATTTATGTCGCCACATCTATGAGTCGTATTAACAAGTTGAATTTGCAAGTTAAATATCCCACTCATGGTGGATCATACATGTTGGTGCCTTTGACTGATGATGAAGGTGTAATGGGAAGGTGGACATTAATTACGAATCTTGTTATGTCTACCATGGAGATATATGTTGAAGAAGTGACTGATGACATGTCATTATATGGTCCATCCACAACTCTTCCCGTTATTATGAACATGGTTATACAGGAGAATGAGAGGTACATGAACAATGATGCAACATTTATGGATTCTCAATGCACTGATGACGATGCAGATGAAAATGAGAATCATGACGCAGTAACAGATTCAGATGAAGATGGTGCTAATCTCGTAAGTGGCAATGTTCCATCCAGCCATTACACTAAAGTTTTTGACCTGCATGCGGGATTTGATGAATCATGGAGGGGTTGTACAACATCTAGTAGCTTCTCAACAGATGGTGAATTCGAGGTTGGGCAACAATTTGATGATAGGAAACAACTGATTAACTTGGTTAGAGTTTACTCTGTTAAAAGGAACTAATTTTTCTCTGTTGTAGAGTCTGACAAACACAAATGGATGGCGGAGTGTAAGAGGAAAAAAGAATGTGGTTGCACTTGACGGGTACGGGATACGAAGAAACATGTGAGGCTAGATATGTTCAGAGTTGTTCGTTATGATCATGCTAGTATCACACCTCAGTTTATAGCTCCCGAAATTATTGATCTTCTTCGTATTGATCCATCACTGAAAGTGCGTACTATTTGTGAGCTTATCAAAGAAAAGTACGGGTATGCACCCTCAACCAAGCAAAGTTGGTTGGCCAAGAAAAAGGCTATCGGTGAAATATTTGACGATTGAGAGGTGTCGTATTCTGAATTACCTCATTTCATGTTGGCATCACAACACTCAAATCCAGGGACGGTAGTGCATTGGTACCCACCTCTTTCAAGTACCAATGAATTATTAGTATATTTAATAAATCGTATTATATTCCATTTTAAATTCACCGTCTCTCCAAATTTTCTCCGTCTTTCGGGTATCATTGATTGTGTGCAGTTTCAGAGAGTTTTTTGGGCATTTAAGCCATTCATTAAGGGCTTTAAACATTGTCGTCCCTTATTGACCATTGATGGAACAAACATACGGGAAGTATAAAGGTACGTTGTTGGTGGCAATAGGTAGTGATACTAATAATCAATTGTTCCCTTTAGCGTTTGCTATTTGTGAAGCAGATAGTGGAAAAAGTTGGTCGTGTTTTATGGTGTGCATATGTCATTTTAACACACGCAGAGAATTGTGTGTTATTTCATATCGACATGCTGGAATATTGAAGGCACTTAATGAGGTAGTTAGTGGATGAGAGGAACCAGATGCACGACATAAATTTGCATAAGACGTGTTGCTCCAAATCTGCCTACTCAATTTAAAGACATTCACTTCAAGAATATTTTCGTTTGGACAGCAAGTCAGCGTCAATAGAAGAAATTTGTTGGTGGATTTAACAAGATAGGAAAACATTGGTTTGGAAAAGTGGTCTTTACACCACGATGGGGGGTATAGGTATGGCACCACAACAACAAACATGGCTAAAGTTTTCAATAGCGTCATGAAAAGTGCACGATACCTGCCTATAACTGCCTTAGTTAAGTTATCCTTCTATTGTGTGAATGCCTATTTTGTTGAAAGAAGAGAAACTAGTAAGAGAAGGTTAGCAAAAGGGCATCGTTATTGCCAGAAAGTGACTGAACTGATTGAGAAAAATACGGAAAGGGCAAATAAAGCAACACAAGGTCACAACATTTGACATAGGCCATGGTTTATATCACATGGAGACGGGTCGTGGTGGATGATAAGTTCGTATTTTGACACACATTTGATGCGTGTTGGGATCGAATTTTGATGGTTTTTCTAGCTTTAAGGTGTTTCAAGTCTCAATTTTAGCTCAAGTTATGTTTACCAAGCTTTGGTTCGAGTTTTATGTCATATGGAGTCAAAATCATGAATTTAGAGTCCGGCACCGGCGCTTGAGGAGAAAACGGGATGATTCGAGAAGCATTCGAGAGTGAATTGAGATCTTTGGAGGTCACCGGGAGGTTCACAGTGAAGATTTGATGACAAAAGAGCTCTAGGATTGGCTACGAGATCAAAAGAAGACGAATAGAGCTTGAAAACGACATTCAGAATGACCTTCTTTCAATCGTTCAATCATATCTCTTTGTAGAAGCATCCCAAGGACACGATTCAAGTCCCATATGAAAGCCAACTTCAAGGGCTACAAATCATATGAAGACACAATTACGAGAATATGAGAGTAAGAAGGCGGAAATAGACAATGAAGTCAGATGATCCCTGTTGCGATTTCAGAATGAGACCTTCTACCAGTTTATTCATATCTCTTGATTGGATGATTCAAATCTAATTCGTCAAGTTGTGGTGGACAGAGAACTTCATTATCTACAACTTTCGTGAAGGAAGTTTTGTCAAATTCGGACTAGAGAAGCCGGAAACCTCACTGGCAGCCACGAACGGCCGTGCGTGGGGGACGCACGCATGCGTGGCACATTTTGACGCGCGGGTCTGTCGGACACACGGACGCCACGCACACCGTGCGTGGTGCCGTGCGTGCCCCCTGGAGTCCTAATTTCTCCTGAATTGCTCCGTTTTTCCTATTTAAATAGCCTGTAAACCCCTATTTTGAGGGGGGAGCTTAGAGAGAGACATAGGGACGAAATTTCTTCTACTTTTCCATCTTGTTCTTCAATTCTCTTGGATTATTTGTAAGTTCCTACTTTTTAATTAATGAAAATTAATTCTATTCTTCCCAATTCCATTGATTATTCAATTATGAATTATGAGTAAATTTTAATTAGGGATTTGGGATTAATGAAGGGGTGAGTCATGGATGTATGGCTAAATTCGTGATGGATTAATTGCATGAATCTTGATTTAATTTGTGTTTGAATGATTTAATTGATATCTCTTGTAACCTAGAAGGGCCACTAGGATTATAATTCCATGTAGAATAAATTAAGAGAGATCTAATTTATTCTAGGACACATTCACACACACTTAATCGTTCGCTAAGAGATTAGTAATGATTAAGGGGCAATACTTTAGATACCTGTCGCACGAGAGATCATCCTGGTTCCCTAAATTATTGTACTCTACGCCGCGAGAGCGGTTAGAACTTAGTAATGAGGCTCAATTAAATTAATTTCATTTGATTAAGCCTGATCAGTCAGAAACCTGATTACCCCGGAATCTATCCATAATCCCTTCGTCGTTAATTAGAAAAAACCTCTTAGCTTTAGTATTCGTTCAATTGCAAGTTAATTTTCCAAGCAATCAAATCTCGCACAATTTATTTATTTATTTTTCTTAATTATTTTTTATCGCTGAATTTAATTAATTCATAATTCCCATTTGTGTGTCCCTGTGGAGACGATACTCATACTTACACCACTATTCTACTACATATTTGAATGCAAGAAAACTCACATCAGTGGACGAAGTCGGTAAAAAATA